CATGATCACTCAAAATTATAAAAAGTATATATTTATTATATTTTATGCGATCAATATAGTGATTCGTATACAATCAAATCGTGTGTACTATTTATTTTAACCAATGATCAAATTTTAAAATATAATACTATTATATAGTTTATAATTTTAATATTATATACATAAATATAACTTATAATATTATATGTTTGAAATATAATATAATTATATAACTTATAATTTTTATATTATATACATAAATATAACTTATAATATTTATTTTATTTACATTTGTGCAAATGCACAAGGTCGAATACTAGTGTTTACTTCATTTTGCCATAAGCAACGTAAGAAAAATATATAGTATTAATTAACATGAACCATAATTTTAAACTACTTTTTTTTAAATACGATAAAACATCAAAATATTCTTTGAAGTTTATTTCATTTTTATATTTTAGGTTTATAATGTCTAATATGGTATTTAAATAATAAAATAATTTACATTAAATTATTTTTTAAGTTTTTTCTATTTATTACATTCTAAATGTCTAACAGTTATGGTATTTTCATAATAAAAATTATATTTTTTATTTATGTAATTTGAGTATACTTGAAACTATTTCATTAAGGTTATTTTAATTATTAGAAAAAAAAATATAATAATATAAGGCCGATATGTCTTACAAATGACTTGTGTCATTTTAAATACAAATAATAATACATATAAAAAAATAAAACTTTAAACTGGTACTTCTATTCATTAATTTTTATATTTAAAATTAGATTTCCTATCTATTCGTCGTGTAATATACAAATGTTGTACTAGTTTAGTTTAGTTACTTATGGATTATCTTCTTATATATAAATATAGAGTTTTTCACGGTCAACTTCAACCGCTTTGTAATTCTATATGTTAATTTCTTAGGATTCGAGACAATCCATATAAATATTGATCTTTATCCAGAACTTTCAAGTTTAAACGCTTGACTAACTTAAGTTGTAAATATATTTTAAAAGTTATTAACAGTCATGTATGTTATAATTTTTTATATATGATAAATTAAGTTAGTCATATTTTAACAATCTATAATTTGACATTCATATTGTATGTATAAATTAAAATAATTATATCTATATGATCTCTATCAATAATCGCATCTCTATATATAATTTCAGAATGCGTTGAGCCTACATGTCAAACTCTCATGCTTCGAAATCCTATTTGGCAAAAAACCATACTTTGGAGTTAGGCTTGGATATAAATTAATATTTTTATCACACTAAATCCATGATTATTTTTTCCCTTCTTTACTTCTACAATTAGTTACCATAAACTATTTTATGTTTCATTTTTCTACATTACCATATATCACATTTTATTTTCTTATATAATTCATTCATTAGTTTTTATAAATGTTTCTTCTTCTTAATTTAAGATTTTATAACTTTTCTGTTTGTATTTTATTTTTCATATATGATGTATCAAATTAACTATCTTTTAACGATTTTCGACTTAACATCCATATTATATATATAAAATACAAAACAGTAATATATGTCCTTACAAATAAAATTTAAATTTATTTATCAAAATAAATTAAATTATATCAAATAAAACTATAAACTATATTTTAAAGTAATAAAAATTGGTATGCATTCTTTTAAAAATGATATTTATTTCAAATCTAATTGATATGCTGTTAATCTAATAAAAATAAATAATTATTTATCTAAATTCTAAAATTACATATACAGTTAAAAAACTACGAAGCACGACTTATGCGACACTTGATGTATTAGGCAATTTAATTAAGTAAAAAACTTAATCTATTTTGCTTAATATTAAACAAACATATTCTACACTTATGCATATACATATCACCATATTATTTCTATTTATTTAAGATATATATTTTTATACTTATGTAATAGTATATAATATTGATATTTTTATATGATATAAGTAAAACAAATTCAACACGGGTTGACATTTTCATTTAATGTGCTGGTGTTTAATTATTATGATTAAAAAAAATATAATTTGACAATTTAATTAAAACCCAAAGTAATATTTTATATAAAACTAAATTCTTTTAGTTTTAAAAAAAAAATTAATATTTTTTACAAAAGCTTTCTAATTCAACACCCGTGTAATATACGGATATTGTACTAATAACTTAATATTATCAATTATAATTGAAAAACAATAAATTTATCTATCAAACTTAATATATGGTCTAAGTACTAAAAATATTGTAACATAATACCGTCGAATTTGGCAAGTGATGTGTATCATTTTAAATTAACATAGTAATGTTATTTGGGTAGAATTATTTAAAATTTTTAAATAAAAACTTGTATTTATATCTTTATAATACTAAATATAAATTTTTAATTAACACATACTAGTACGTAGCTCGTGCGATGCACGGGACAAAGATATTAAATGCATTATTTTCACAGGATCTGTCCGTTTATGTCTAGAAAGAATAGTGTTATCATCTATTTTTCACTTCTTTTAATCAACGTTAAGTCTAAAAAACAATAGGGTTATAAAATATTTTCCACATCTTTTAATCAACATTGTTTTTTTAGCCAAAACATTAAATATGAGCATGTTAGGGCTAACTTGTAAAATAATTAATACATTATCTCACTATCACATTTATACTAATATAAATTTGATTTTAGTATATATATTATTCTTTGATATAAGAGAGAATAACAATTTTACATATTTTTGTTCACCATATAATACTTAATTATAATTTTATTATAAACTTTGTTGTCATATAATGTCATTATTATTTATAAAAGTTATAGAAGTTGTACGTCTTCTTTTTCTTTTTATTTTATGTAATGAAAAATATTTAATCCACGTTAGTATTATTTATTTATGTAATAAATTGAAAATATGTAAATAAATTTAAAATTAAGTGTATAAATATTTTACAAAATATACACACATGTTTTTTTTAGAATTTACGTTTGTATACTAATTAAACAACTTTGATTTAGCAAATGCCAAAAACTCAATCCCTTCAATAATCAAGATTTTTCTAATTTGCATTATAAGAATTTTTAGTTTATTTAGCATATTCTGCAATGAAAATATATTTTACAAGAATTTTATTATAGAAAGAAATCAAAATAAAAAAAAAACGATAAAAATAATCATGGTTGCCAATGATATACAAATAACTTCTAAAGAATAATTAATATATTTTAATTTTAAATTTTGACTATTAGTAAAACTATTTAATGTATCTGGTCATTATTTTCTAAATGGTAAATTATATTAATTTGGAGAATAATTTATTTTGTATATATAACGAAATAAAGCTTAAGAAAAAAAATATATTGTCAAAGATTAATTCACCAACTTGATTTTGCCTAACTAATTGGAAGAAAAAATTCTATATAACCTATTATGATTTTATATAAATATTTTTGGATAAAGTGAATATTTGTGAAAAGAAAATAATATTATGGTTATAACTTAAAACATGTTGTAATATTTATCTTGACAAAAATATTATCAATATGAATAACGAAAAATCAATCGTGTAATTTATATAATGGATATCAATGAAATTGTTGTAGATATTAATAAAATTATTTGCGGAAACAATATTTTTTATCATATTCGATTTGATCTTGTTTAAGAACGTGTATATATAAGTAATTAATGCATATATTTAAAAAATTTCCAAAAATGTATGCATTAATGCTTTCAAAAAATTTTACTACTATTTTTAATAAATGATTATTCTTATTACATATATATAGATTTACTATATGAATTGTAGAGTTAACACAAAAAATCTAGCCTAGGCAATTGCCTAGGCTGACCATATATAGATCCGCCATCGGTTTTACATATCAATTTTTAGTGTTTCATGATTCTATATGTCAACTTGTGAAATTAATCATGTGTGTCAATTTTTAACTTTTTAGTTCATTAAGATTTGTACTTTCATTTATGCCTATTAAAATTTTTAAATTTATAAAGTATTTGGATAACTAGAATTATAAAAATATTTAAAAATTTAATAGTTTTATTATTTCTTAGTGTTTTCATATATCAAACTAATCATTTTTTATGATTATCAATTTGATATTTATATTGCATGTTTAAAAAAAAAAAATTGTTGGCGTGAATGAGTCTTATAGGTTATAAATGTCATTTTAAATAAAAATAAAAAATAGTTTTTTAAAAATAATTAAAAATGAAATATTTTTTAAAAAAATGTTTAAATATGTTTCTTTTTCATGTTAAGACCCTGTACTAGTAATTTTATTTTAATTGTCTGTTATTGTTAATATCCTTATTAGGTTGCTTTTTTAATTAATGATTTATTTATGTTGGAATAGTTTTTTTTAAAGAAAAAAAAAACGTACTTCAAGGGAAGTATAGTATGCATTGTGGTGTATCTTATTAGATGACGTGTCATTATTTAACTGGTTAAAAATTGAGGGTACGATTCCGTTGAAAACCACAACGGTACTTTAGAATTTTCCTGAACCTAATAGGCAATAGCCCATGTGAGTCACATCTCCCAATTTTCATAAAATTTTGTCGCTTGGTAAACTTGGTCCTACCTAATCAACAAAATTTCAATTCCCAAACCACGTATTTCTAAATATTTTAAAATTTTCTATGCTGGACATGTGCATGTATCTATCAATAGGATAATGCATAACAATTTAACTTCCACTATTTGCAGAAAAAAAAACTAAAACATGTTGGTAAAAGGAATACGATACCTTATATCTTCCCACCAGAAAAATTGCATTTTCTTCATATGTTTCAAGTAAAAGCCTATTATTCTTTTTCTTTTTGTTCTCTTCTAGTTCAAGAAGCCTTTTTTGAATTAATGCCATGACATTTAATTTCCAGATAAACTGAACAAGTAACGAAGAAGAGAGCATCATTTTTTATCTTTTGGACGTTTGTTCGACTCGCCATATGACTCCTCATATGAGTGTATATATATGTAAAACTTCAACTTCCAAAAATGCTCACACCCCCACAACCAAATGCTATGATGTTATCCGAATTCACGAAAACAATAGATGTATTACTATCCATGTCCACAACTTTAATAGCTTCCTTATGCTCCTTGCTCCTCATACTTCTCTACTCACTCACCCATTCAAAATTCGGGCCAGCCCGAAGACAAGCATATCCCGTCCCAACTTCATACCCGATAATCGGATGCTTAATCTCTTTCTCCAGAAACAGACGCCGCCTCCTCGACTGGTACACAGACATGCTGTCTACGTCGCCTTCGCAGACAATAATCATCTCCCGATTCGGCGCGCACCGGACCATCGTAACAGCCAACCCTGAAAACGTGAAATACGTTCTGAAAAAGAATTTCGCCAACTTTCCCAAAGGAAAGCCCTTCACCGAAATTCTCGGGGATTTTCTCGGGAAAGGGATTTTCAATGTGGACGGGGACACGTGGTTGGCCCAGCGCAAGCTAGTCGTGCACCACTTTAATGCCAAGCCGTTGAAAGACTACACGGAGAGCATACTAAAGGAGGAGGTGGAGAAGAAGCTGGTCCCGGTGCTGGAATCAGCTGCGGAGGAGTGCAAAACCCTGGACTTGCAGGATTTGCTGAGGAGGCTTGCGTTTGACTTGGTGTGCAAAGTTTCGCTCGGGTACGATCCTTGTTGCTTGGAGTACAAGTCCTTGGATAAGCCGCATCCGATAGTGGAAGCACTAGATTTGGCCTCGGACATGAGTGCGAGAAGGAACGCGGCACCGATTTCAGCCATGTGGAAGTGTAAGAGGTTTTTGGGTCTTGGATCGGAGAAAAGGCTTAAGGAAGCCGTTGGCCGAATTCATTTGTTTATAGATGAGATAATTCATGAGAGGAAAATTAAGCATCAATCACGGGATTTTGAATCCGACCTTCTGTCGAAAATGGTTTTGGACGGGGAAGAAGATGGGATTATTAGGGATACGATGATAAGCTTTATCATGGCGGGAAGGGATACGACTTCATCCGCCATGACATGGCTTTTCTATTTACTTTCTTGCCATCCAGATGTGGAAAATGAGGTTGTAAAAGAATTAGGGCTTGTTGAGAAAGATGGGGATTATTGTGAGAATTTGTTGAAGTACGAAGATTTGAAAGAGATGAGGTGGTTAAAGGCATGCATCTGTGAGTCCATGCGACTTTTTCCGCCAGTTGCATGGGACTCCAAGCATGCTAATATTGACGATGTTTTGCCCGACGGGACTCGGGTTCGGGCTGGAGATAGGGTTACTTATTTTCAATATGGAATGGGAAGGATGAGAAGCTTGTGGGGGGAAGATTGGATGGAGTTCAAACCGGATAGATGGATTTCAGACAATGAACATGGTAGAATTAAGGCGTTAAAGAATGTAAGCCCGTATAAGTTTCCTGTTTTTCAGGCCGGCCCAAGAGCGTGCCCAGGGAAAGAGATGGCTTTTGTGCAGATGAAGTATGTGGTGGCTTCAATCTTGAACCGGTTCGTGATTAGACCGGTGAGTCAAGAGAAACCGGTGTTTGTGCCCCTCCTAACGGCTCACATGGCCAGAGGATTTAAGGTGTTGGTTCAACGAAGAAAACAATAATACAAACCAAACATGTATTCATAATTAGTGAAAGGAAAGGGACCAGCAAAGTTCGTTTACGACAAATCAACGCCACAGTTTTGTAACTTTCATTGCTTGATTTCTTTCTCTCTTTTTTTTCCTTTGTTATTTTCCGTATGTTTTGTAACTTTCATTGCTTATATTTTAGTTTCTATAAAATATAGTAAGTAATTTTTGTAGATGTAATAATTATTTGGTGAGCCAGATAAGAACTATTCTGAATTTCTTTCCTCTTCTAGAATGGGCCTGGCGGGTAGGCTTGTAAACAAATCAATTTTTTTTGATTCGGTTCGATATTCGAATTCGAATACGAATAATGTTTTATATTCGAGAGTTAAACGAATCCGAATTCGAATTTGTAGAAATTCGATTCGAAATTCGAATATTCGATTTGTTAATAATATTATATAAATTTTATAAATTATGTATAGTATACATTTTGTTTATAACATCTATATATATATATATATATTGTTATATTCTTACTATTTTTATGACATAAAAAGTAAAAACATCATAAATTAACAAATTTTCCTAAAAGTATATGAAAAATAAAAATTATTTTTTGTAATTATAATATTTTTTTATTATAATTTTTTTTAAAACGAATTTCGAATCGAATCGAATATGTTCCAATATTCTAAACGAATCAAATACGAATCAAAAAATGAGTTCGTTAACAAATCGAATACGAATTCAAATCTTCGAATATTTTAACGAATCCGAATCGAATATCTGAGTATTCGCTTTGATTCGATTCGTTTACAACCCTAGTGGGCACGCCAATCCAGATGTATCGATAAAGTCAAGATTGGAAATAAAAAATATTTTGTTGAAAAGCACATTTTAGCCATGTGCGGCCGCAAGACTTGGCCAAACAAGGTGCTTAATGTGACTGATTTATATAATTATTATTTTCAATTTTATATTATAGATTCTGATAATAAGCAACTTAACTATACGAGTAGGTAACATAAATTATGAACAAAAAATAAATATAATATCAAGAGATATGTCATGCTAGTGTAGAATTACTAAAAAATTTTGTACAGGTGGTATGAACTGATTTGCCACTTATGAATTGAAAAATATTACTACTTCGCAAATCTCCAAGTTGAAATTTAGTTTCGTTGACACTAACAGTGACAGACAATAGAACAGTTAAAGCGTTACCTGATTGAGTTTAGTGATTTTCACAATGATATGCTCCCAAATTGCTCGTTCCACTTCTCGTACGTGCCGAACTCGTTGAGTGAGACTGAAAGCCTCACCTCTTGTAGTGCTTTCTCAAAGTCCTAAAGGCTAAAGCAAAGGACATTATCTCAAAGAATAACTTAAAAAAAAGCTACGAGATCAAGAATTTTCTGCCTTAAGTACCTGAAGATTTACTGCCCTCATATCCTCTTTCTTCAGCTTAGTTATTTCAATACCCTGTTTCAAAGCCTCTCTCGGTGGTCCCTTTGGAGCATCTTTCACCAAATTCTTCATATCAGAACCCGAGTACCCTAAAAATAGGCAAATTAAGAATTTAAAAAAATTGCAGAAAAAAATAGTTATTTAGTTGTTGATTCTTTTGAAGCAGCTAACTACCTTCAGTTAATTTGCAAATAGTATCAGTATCTTTGTCAGAAAGGTTAAACAATCCATCTTTCTCCAGCAGGTTCTTTATGATCCACGATCTTGCTTCTGCATGTTTAAGTTAAAATTGCTAGCAATAAAGCAAAGAGATTTTTCATATACAAAATTTAAAATGATGATTTTAACTTGGAACTAAAGTGGGAAGTGGAATGTACAGTCTCTTTGTGAGTCGTCGCCTTGCGGTCTCGTCAAGTTCTTGAGGTCTATTAGTTGCACCTGTTCCAATAAAACATTGAGATATAGCCAAATCAAACAATCATCCATAACATAATAATGCACACTGCGGATTTCCAAATTTGTTTGCATAGACAATGTGGTGTCATGTGCAAAATCCAATTTCCTGATTTTGCAATTGTACTGACTTTACATGGAGTGTAACAAAGTGGTGCAAACCGTGGACAGAAAAAAAGTTTATGAGGCAACAAGTTTAGCCCAAAAACTTGCAATAACCATAGTTGAACAACCACCTATTGGTCGAATATGCTCCGCCACACTGTCAAAGCCTTCCATTTCAATGAGGAATTGTGTGTTCAATCGTCAGCTGGATTCATGTTCACCTTCAGACTTCAGCTGCAATAACATATTGAACTACTCATTTTCATTTCTCACTTTTCAAAGGAGGAATAGTAAATAAAAGAAAGCTATTCGGGTAATGTGGTTATTGTAGCATTACCATATAAATGAGCCTGCATTAGGTGAATTGTGATAATTCTGGTTTTACAAGTGTCCCCTATTAGTTGTTCGGTACACACAGGCACACCAAAGATGAGATGCATTGTGAAACCAAAAGATGGACATGCTTAGTTAATATTCCTTTCACAAACAATACAAGGGATAAGAACTAAGTAGAAAATTTACATTTTTTTCAATATCAAGGTAAAAAAAGGGGAGGTAACAGAGTAAACAAGGATAGCAGGATGAAAGCGAGAGATAGGTATATAATTGAGAAACATGACGGAAAGAACTACTGCCTATTTTACCTGAGACAGAAGAGAATCCATTTCATCCACGAATATCACAGCAGACCGCGACAGCTAGCTATGCCAAAAAGCGCTCTAACAAGCTTTTCACCTTCACCTATCTGCAAACATTTACTTAAACCTTGAAGATCAAAATAAATACAACATACATATAGGCACTTGTATTTGGAAAATAATAATTTAACATGACATATCAATTCAATGGAACTCACCAATGAGGAACCAGGAAGGAGGGAGAGAGCAAGAACCCGCAAAAAGATGCATGTCATACCAAAATTACAGATCAACCAAATTTTCCCTTCATATGGTAAATGAGAATAAGGTTAATAAAAGCACACATGCCAATTCAATGGAACTCACACTCAATTATAACCGGAACTACTTGGAATTGTTAATATATTTCATTTTTATAAGAGAGATGTGACAGAATTTTATTATCAGCTATCACTCCTAAGTACCTGTTTCTCCATACTTCTGTGCTAAATGGGAAAAATGTGCAGAATCAGTTTCATTCATTAATCCAGTTCACATTTGCACACATTTCGTCCACTACACCTAGGATCCAATTAATACATGCAGAGACAGAAAATTAATAAGGCAAACTAAAGCATTGAAGAACTTTAACCAGCAACAAGATCCAAAAAACTCCGAACTCAACAGTATAACACTGCACCATGAAATAACCGAACACTGCAACTCCTATCCTTGTTTGGTTCTCGATTACATAAGCTCAACCGAAAACAAAATTACATCACTAATTTCTTCTCATATAGCTAAGAGAACAGTACCCGCTAAGTGGAGGAAGCCGATGAGGCCGAGGGACAGCACCTGAGCTGAGCTGAAATCACCCTTGTCAGAGCCGCGTCCGGGCCGAACAGCAGAGACAGGAGCCGCTTGAGGTTCTGTTCAACTTCCTTTCTCCAGCAAGTATCCGGCTTGCCTTCGATTGTCGGCTTTCTCCGGTGGCCTCCTTTCCCGCCATTTTTGTCGAGGTGCTATGTGGGGGAAATGTTGCGAGTTTCGAAACTACTCGGTGTTAAGAGTGTGAGCGCGCACATATTTGGGCCATATTTGTGACTTGCTCAATTTCTTTGATGGGCCTAATTTCAAGTCCAATAATTTCAAGAGAATAGTTGGCCTTATTTATGACTTCTTCAATTTCTTTGACGGGAAATTCAATCCAATAATAGGATGGGGTCATGTAACTTTAAGCCTAGCCCCAATTTCGGGTTTGTGCTTACTATTATTTAGGCACTTTTACGTGTCTATTACACTTGTTTGAAAAGTTCCATACATTGAAAATAAATTATATACAAATCATTCATAAACGATGTAAACCTAAAATATATATAATCTGGATAAAAATAAACCATAAATCAACCATTTATAAACAGTAAAAGTCATTATAAATAAAATTAAAAATATTTTTTTGTTAATATGCAAATAAATATAATTATTAGGTAAATAGCAAATCAAGTGTAAAGCACACTTTTCGTTCCCTATTCACTTTTAGTAAAATATTTATAAATGCCACGCCGCACGAATGTAATTCATGTTCTCTGTACTAATCATGAATTAATTCTAAAACAATTTTTTAATGTGAGATGTAAATTCATCCATTCAACTGAAGTTACATTTTCCCTGCACCAAATCTGAACAGTGGAAACTTTAACCAATCAGGGCTCAGGCAAATTGACACGAACACAATAACTGAAAACTTGTCAAATCTGAAAATTTCATCCCTATTCATACATATGCCTCCCCGATGAATCACAGAAATACACAAAACCAAATCTTGTTATGGGGCAAACTGTGAAGTCTTATACTTGCCAAGCGATGTAAATACAATACAGCAGCATTACAATTAGCACATGTACTGGGGCCTTTGTGCTATAACAGCTTTCAAAGTCTGCTTCTACAGGGACTGACTATAGCTCCTTCCTCCAGCACTTGTCGAGACAAACCGCATGAATCCTGCACTCGAAAATCCATGTCCTAGATGGTTCTCTAAAGAACACGATAAGTTGATTAAATTATTGCACTTAGCAAGGTTTTACTTTCCCCACCAAATCATGTGTTCCCAGAGGCATCTGCAGCCGGCAGCTTTCTGTTAAGGTAGCGAATAACAGCATCCTCAACCCTGTAAAGTCAGAGGCATTTTGAAATACTTTTAACATACCTCCAAATTATTCGAAAAGTCAGGCAAATCTGAAATTTTAGCAGGCGTAAAATACATTTTGTTAAAAAGAAAAGTGAAAAAATTTACAACACTTATTTTTTACACAGATGAATAAACTACACATCGCAAAAGAGAAACCATGACCAAATACCAACTAAAATCAGGGACCCAAAGTTGCGAAAGGCATTCCCACCTACAAAATTGCTTGCAATTCATGTTTAGACCAAAAATCAACCTAACCATAGCTTACTATAAATAACTGAATCCTACCTTCATGTTCCTGTGTAGCAAAACTTCAACGAATAATTACAGATAAAGAAAGTGTAGCAATTAAATGAATGGGAAACAGAAATAAAAACCATACCACGGCTGGTTGAAGAATTCCGAATGGCGCTCTTTCTCCGCATTACGGCTAGTCTCCCCAGCAACCGCCTTCAGATCCTTATTCTGCGAATCTATCAGGGCATTAATAAACTCAACTGGTGACTGACTAAATCCGAGAAAGAAAGCCCTCCTCCGCCTGTGCTCGTGTATCTTTCTTATGGCGGCGCAGATCGCCTCATCACACGCATCGATTTCCTTCGTCTTCTCGGTATTTGCCAGCAAAACATTCAATTCCCTCTGTATAGGAAACGGGACATCCACCTGAACATCATAGCAAGCGGACCCAACCGGGCTATTTCCCTGGAGCTTAATCCTGTGCTCCAAATGTATTGGCTGAGGAGGGAAAAGGTGGGACGTGATTTTCTGCGTGACAGCTGTGAATTTGATTTTACTTTCCCCAAACACCTTCTGGAGTGGAGGATCACAGTTGAAAGATGAAGGGTCATCCGGGCACTGGAGTTTTCGAGCCTTCACATAATGCCAAACTCCCGCCATGATTCGCGCACGAGTTTCGACTTCAATACCCAGAAGATCAGTCAGGGCTGCTGAGAGCTTGAACTTCTCAGGAGTGTAATTCATCTCCAGCCTTATGCTGGCAGTGAACTCTTGATCCCCCTTTCGTTTCACCTCAAACCCCTCGTGAGGGGCGGGCGATCGGGCCCCGTCCCATATGATCAGGTGGTTGTCCGGATAAACCTTTTGGTCAAGTGTGATCGTGACCCGCTTAAAGAATGATGAGAATTTCGGGTAAATCGGGTTCTGCTTCTGTGCCATGGCAGGACCCGCCGCCTGGTCAGGATCCACACCCTCCTCCAAGAGCCGCCCTACGATCTTGAGGGTCCACGTGGGAGGCTCGGCGTTTGGCTTCTTTGGGACCGTGCGGATTTGGTTAGCAAAAGTATTGAACACATAAATCCGGAGGGTTTTCTGGATATAAGATGGTGTCTTTAGGGCCTCTTGGATGTCGATCTTTTTCCGGGTGAGGGCAGCATCCACGCGGGATTCAAACTCGAGGAGCTGAGTGTATAGAGCTGACTCGGGCAAGATGGCCGCAACTCGCTCCTGGAGCTGTTTTTCTGGAAGCTTCTGCTTTTTCCGGCGAGCGGCAGGGGAGGCATCCATCATCCTCATTGGTGAGGCCATGTTGGGAGTCGGGTAATTCGGGGGGCGGACAGGTGGTTTTTGTGGGAACCGCTTGGCGCTGGGATTCCCGGCAGCTGAGACGGATGGGGACTGGGAGCCAAGATTGGGGATCCCACCAGGAAGGCCCTGGTTGAACGAGAGCCCCTGAGCGGCTTGCAGTTGGGCCTGCATCTGCGCGTGGGCCGCCATCATTTGTGCGTGGGCGTGGGCCTGGGCCTGGGCCTGTGCTTGAGCTTTGGACTGGGCCTGGGCGAGGGCTTGGACTTGTGCTTCAGAAAACTGGAACTGGCCAGGGAAGCCAGGTCCCAGTTGTTGCTGGGCCGAAGGATTCCCGGACATGGAGTTTCCAAAAGGGGAAGGAGCGCCGGTGTTCTTCTGAGGGTGGTTGTTATTAGCAGACATGGCTGATATATCTAAAATCAAATACATAATAAGGGACGATCAGCATGCAATCTACTTTGGGAATTTACAGGAATAGTCTGGAATTTTAGCATGAATTCAATTATCAGGTGTGAAATGAAAACGGCACAACAAACAATATCATCAGACCCCAACGGGGTAAAGAAGATGAAAAATACAAACCAAACACCAACAAGAAACTAACGTTTCAGGTAAACTGAGCTCAATTTTGCAATACCATAAACTTCGTTCAAAGTTTGGATAACTCTTTCACACAAAACAAGGAGAGGTTTTGAGAAAACCCTAAATCTAAACCTAACTCATAAACAACTACAAATTTAACCCCAAAAACGGAAAAAATAACGAATAAATCAGGAAATCATAGTTTGGATCTAGCGGAAGTCGATTTCCTGAACCCAGAAGGCTAAATAAACATCTTCTCGCTAAATTCAGATTACATTACGCATACAAATTCAACATATCCACGCTAATTTAACATCTGAATGATGGGAAAAAAAAATGGGAAATTTGTAAGAATCTTTGATTGAAAGCTGAGATCGAAACCTTACAGAAAAAAATCAGCAAGAGCGGATTTCCAGTGGCCGAGCCTGTAGTGTGTTCCCCGTTTGGTAGCTCGCCAGAGTCAGCTGCTCATAGTGAGAGTTGATGTGCAAGTTCTTTCACCTGGTTGTGTTCGATTGTCTTGTTATGATGGGCCTTAAAGAGCTTTTGGGTCATATGTTAATGGGCTGGTGCTCGTTGGGCCGGAGATCAAAACGTAACTATTTTTATTGGCGAAAGTACATAACTTTTTTTTTTTTTTTTTTTTTTTTTTTCGAAACGATAGAAATTTTATATAAAAATGCACAAATGTGCAAAAGAACAATCACCAGCTGAATACAAAACAGCCAACGGCTGAATACAACCAGCCAACAGCTGCATAAAATGGGAGGACAGGTCAAAAGACCGCCTTGAGCCCGACCCCAACGGGGTAATACTCGGGAACACACAGAAAGATGCAATACACACTAAAAAACGGCCCCAACAGGGTAATGCCCGAGCGTACGGTCCCAACAGGATAATGAAGTTACACTCGTGCTAACTAAGGCCAACGGCCCAGACCTAAAACACAATTACAAACACAGACACAGACGACACAAATCAAACAAACAACCATGGAAAAAAACACAAAACAAGCTAAAAACTACACAAGCCCTTCCTCCGACATACGCACCAAGAGTATGTCGACGACCTCACAGCCCGACCTCACAAAACAAGCGAAAGTACATAACTAACCGCCATAAAAATTAATATTCCATTAAATTACTCAAATACATGGAATTCCATAAAATAGTCCAATTCTTTCAACTAGTGCATAGCCCGTGCGATGCACGGGATGGTATATTTTTCTGAAATGTTTAACGTGTGAAATATTAAAAATAATATAATTTATATATATGTAATAAAAATAAATGGATTGCAAAGAAGGAAAAAAAATATAAATTATTGAACACTTTCTTTGTAAAGTAAAATTTGTGAAGGTTTGGTATATTTGATTATGAATAGAAAATTATGAAATACTACCTGCGGACCGTTGAGATAGATGAGAAGATTTACTTAGAATATATAGAATAAATATTGAGATAATGATACCTAGTATAGACAAAATAAATATTGACATGATGTGGGAAAATTATGACGAATTATGACATAAATTCGTTTAGAAAATAAGCAAAAATTAGATTTATTTTTTATTTTTTAAATCCTTACAGTAATTCGTACGCTCCTTTTTCATACGCTTAGTTTATCAATTTTACACATACAAATAAAAATTAATGCAACTCGAAATATTATATAATAAATAAAATGAGATTTTTATCTAACATTTAGTATATTGCCAGAATTTTTTTTATAAATCTTATTCTCTTTTTATGCACATAGATATTAAAGAATGAGTAAAAAAAATATCTAAATATGTTTAAAAGTATCTAATATTATATGTGTTAACAATGTTACAACCAAAAGACATTAAGAATACGCAGACTATTATATAACATATGTGAAAGTATTAAAATATTTTATATTATTATTGAAAAATGTGAAATTACCTCAATTTTGTCTAGACTATTTTATAAGAAAAATATATATACTTAAAGTTAGCACACACATATATATATCCTTAAAATTTGCCCAACTAACATGTTTAAAAGTATATAAAATTTTATATATAAAACACGTTTAAAGTTACATATTTTACAAAAATTAGACTGCTCTCAGTTTATATAAAATTTGTTGCTCTCATATTCGGATAACGTATTATGCATTTAATGAAAGCACCTTACGATACAAATTTATAAATATTAATTAAAATAATTTTCTAAATTATATAAAATTAAAATAACAAAGGTAAATATTACCTGTTCATCGTGAAAATGCGTTACAGCTCCGTTCGTGATGGGTTTCAATGGGTTTCAATAATGCGGACTGCTCTCAGACGCAAAAAAGGTTTGTTATAAATATTAATTAAAATAATTTTCTAAATTATATAAAATTGAAATAACAAAGGTAAATATTACCTGTTCATCATGAAAATGCGTTACAGCTCTCCCGTTCGTGATGGGTTTGAATAATGCGGACTGCTCGTCATGGGTTTCAATAATGCAGACTGCTCTCAGACGCAAAAAAGGTTTGTTATAAATATTAATTAAAATAATTTTCTAAATTATATAAAATTGAAATAACAAAGGTAAATATTACCTGTTCATCATGAAAATGCGTTATAGTTTTCCCGTTCGTGATGGGTTTCAATAATGCGGACGCAAAAAAAAAGAGGTTTGTTTCTTTTGTTAACGTACCCCAGTCCCGAAGCATTATATATCAAGTGTACCCCAGCCTGCTCGTGATGGGTTTCAATAATGCGGACTGCTCTCAGACGCAAAAAAGGTTTGTTATAAATATTAATTAAAATAATTTTCTAAATTATATAAAATTAAAATAACAAAGGTAAATATTATCTGTTCATCATGAAAATGCGCCCGTTTGTGATGGGTTTCAATAATGCGGACTGCTCTCTCCCGTTCGTGATGGGTTTCAATAATACGGATTGCTCTCAGACGCAAAAAATGTTTGTTATAAATATTAATTAAAATAATTTTCTAAATTATATAAAATTGAAATAACAAAGGTAAATATTACCTGTTCATCATGAAAATGCGTTATAACTCCCCCGTTCGTGATGGGTTTCAATAATGCGGACTGCTCTCAGACGCAAAAAAAGGTTTGTTTCTTTTGTTAATGTACTCCAGTCTGGAAGCATTATATATCAAGTGTACCCCATCCTGGAAGCATTATATTGTATATGCGATGAAAAATTATTCTCTGTATTTTTTTTTCTCTGAACTCGTGAATGATGAGTTGTAATGGTGGTAGTGAATATCCTTTTATACAATTTTTTATTAACAAAAGTGATAAGATAATTATGGATTGTATTTGGATAGATATTAAATTCCATGATTTTTGGGATGCAACAACAAAATATGCAATCACATGTATATATCTTATCACGTTAAAGGTATATCCATCCTAAAAAAAGAAAAAATATATAATGCCTTAATTGACGGAATTTGTGTATTTTCGTAACAGATTTGCTTAATTAATGGGATCTGATACTTAATTAACGGGAATACCAATTACAAAATCTTATTCACGATTTTTTTTTTCAAAATTTGATTGAGATTACATAAATAGAAAGTCAAAAGTCAACTCAATTTATTTTAAGTTTCTAAAAATGATTTTTACATCAACCTTTTTAGATATATATAGATTTAAATAAACCGTCTAATCAAACCGTCTAAACAAATACACATATAAGAATTCTCCTCTCTCTCTCTCTTCTTTTTTCTCTTTCTTCCATTTTTTTTCTTCTCTCTTTTCTCTCTCTTTCATTTTTTTTCCCACGTTCTTCTTTTTCTTCTTCTTCTTCTTCAAATATCTTCAAATTTGGATGCATAAAAAAAACACATTAAAAAAAAAAATAACAAAAAGATTGATCAATATGTTATATACATGACAATTAAATTATTTAGAAAGCAACACAAAATATTTGTTATTGTAACTTAAAAAATTAATAATATATTTTATAGAAAACAACAAATAAGATACAATAAAAACAACAATAAAACATATGAAGCAACATGAAAACAATTTTGTATTAACAATAAAATAACTTAAATTTTATAATACATATATATGGGCTTGTAAATTTCACAACAAAATAATCACCATTACAACAATCAAAATGCATAAATTCAGATTCCATCACTTCACACATGAGTAAAAAAAAAGTATGCCAACAATAGTGATTGTTTATGGATCACATCAGTACATAGCGGATTGAAAATTTAGAATTTTATTTGCCAAGCATAAAGTAAATTGAAAACATAATGATGCTGACAATATTATGTAAATTGACTACGGCTTTTCTGGATGTTGATGGGAGAGTAAGTAGCATAAACAAAGATGAATTTGTGAATGAGAATACACCTTTTCCTATTTGAATGGCCGATTAGAAATTTAGAATTTTATTTGGCAAGCATAAATCTAAACTGAAACAAAAACAATATTATTTAACGTCCTAGTTAAGCTCATTGTGCTTGGAATTTTGTTAACTAATCTTAAAAT